CCATTTGAGGAGTGAACCAGCAGATGGGAGACCTCTCTCCCTCTGTCTCTACCTCTCTCTGTAACTCTGCCTTTCAAATAAATAAAAACAAATCTAAATATATAAATATATATATATATATATATCACCAGTAAAGCATTAACAGTTTACAACCCTCCCTAAACATTCAACTTTACAGAAGACAGTACTTGGAGCTAGATGTCAAGTATACCCCTGCACTGCACAGATGTTCCTATTGTCTATGAAACACTCTTATATAACAGATGCTGTAACAACATCCATACATCCCTGGGTGGAAAGTAGATGTTTATATCTCTTAGGAGCTGGATGTGCTTGTACTTGCTCTTACAAATGATAAACAATTTTCTATTCTAATCGAAGAGCATAGAAAATAAAGGAAGAAAGACACAACATGTTCTAGAAAACCCACTTTGTGAGGGGCACTAAACCAAGTAAGTTACCTATTCTAACTAAGGCCTCTGAAGGAGGTGAGAATACAGTGAGAGGAGAAGCTAAATGCCCAGCATCACTCGGTAAGTGGCAGATTCAACATCTGAGTCGAGCCCTGACTTTAGAGGCAAGGCAAATGTCCCCCCATATTACAGACTTTCACAGACTATTACTTGCTGGATCCCATGCTATAGTACCAAGGACTCACTACTGTTTTGCCACCTAAGGACTCAACACAGACTTTCATAAAATTCCAGATTTTTTAAAAAAGATTTATTTATTTGAAAGGCAGAGTGGCACAGAAAGAAGGAGAGATAGAGCAAGAGAGATCTGCTGGTTTACTCCTGAAATGTCTGCAACAGTCAGGTCTAGACTAGGACAAATCCAGGAGCAAGGAACTCCATCTGGGTCTCCCACATGAGTGGAAGGGGACCAAGTACTGGGGCCACCCTCTTCTGCCTTCTGAGGTGTATTAGCAGGGATCTGGATCTGAAGTGGAATAGTTGGGATACGAACCAGCACTCTAAGCTGGTATGGAATGCTGGCTTTGCAAGTGGTGGATTAACTCATTGTATCCCAGATAGCCCAAATCTAGTTTTTGTTTGTTTGTTTGTTTGTTTGTTTTAGGTTTATTAATTTATTTGAGAGGCAGAGTTACAGACAGAGAGAGGGAGAGACGAGGGAGAGACAGAGAATGGTCTTCCATCCACTGGTTCACTCCCCAGATGGTCGCAACGGTTGGAGCTGGGCTGATCTGAAGCCAGGAAGCAGAAGCTTCTTCCAGGTCTCCCACGGAGGTGCAGAGGCCCAAAGACTTGGGCCATCCTCCACTGCTTTCCCAGGCCATAGCAGAGAGCTGGATCAGAAGTGGAGCAGCCAGGACACGAACTGGCACCCATATGGGATGCCAGCACTCCAGGTGGAGGCTTAGCCACCCACACCACAGCACTGGCCCCAGATCTATTTTTTACCTCAAAGTTCTTTGAAACTACCTGGCTCTCTGTGGTAGACTACAGAAATACATATTTAAAAATTTTTATTACTTATTTTCTTTTTATTTAAACGAGAGAGAAAAAGAGAGACAGAGACAGAGAGATATCTTCCATCTGCTGGTCCAACTTCTCAAATATCCACAACAGCTGGGGCTGGGCCAAACTGAAGCCGGGAGATTGGAACACAACTTGCATCTCCTACATGGGTGGCAGGAACGTAAGTGTTTGAGCCATCATCTGCTGCCTTGCAGGGTGCACATTATCAGGAAGTTGGAATCAAAAGTGGGGCTGAGGCTTCAATATGGGTTGTGGGCATCCCAAGCAGCCTCTTAACTACTGTTCCAAATGCCTGTCCCTACTGCAAAAATATTTCGCAGCTCTTCCTATAAAGAGGTGGATTATACTCATATTTCCCTGCTCTTTGACTTCTGGGTTGACTGTGTGACTTGCTTTGACCAGTAGAACAAAGTAGACGCAACACTGTAGCAGTTCTCAGTTTGGGCCTCCAGAGGCCTTGCAGCTTTGGTATTTATACTCTTGAAACCCTCTCCCATCACATGAACACACTCAAGGTAAGCCTGATGGTGGATGAGAGTATGTGTAGATATGAGATGAGTCACAGCTCAGGGTCCCCGAGCATGTAATTATCCTAGCAGGTGACCATAAATGATCCCAGCTACAACCACCCCACTGAGAAGAAAAACTACCCCACTGAGCTTTGACAAACTGCAGCCCACAGAACTGTGAGCAGAATGGTTGTGGCTTTAAGCCACTGAATTTTAGAGTGGTTTATTATACAGCAAAAGCTATCTGATAGAGCCCTTCTAGCCTAGAATCAGAGACTCCTTGCAGTTAAAAAATAAACGAGGGAATGGGCACCTGATGTAGAAGGTAAGCCATCACTTAGATGCCTGCATTTCATACAGGCATGCCTGAGTTCAAGTCCCAGCTTCATACTGAATTCCAACTTCCTGCTAATGTGCGCCCTGGGAGACAGCAGATGATGGTTCAAGTAACTGGGTACCTGCCAGTCCCACAGAACACCTCGAATGAGTTCCTGGCTCTTGGCTTCAGCCTCGCCCAGCCCTGGCTGCTACAGGAATTTGGAGAATGATCAGCAGATGGGAGATCCCTGTGCATCTCTCTGCTTTTCAAATAAATAAAGTTTTAAAAATGTGGGTAGACCCAGAGGGCATTGAGAAGCTTACTGACAATGGTTTATTCATCCATTCTGCTTCCTACAAGGACAGCCTGATTCAATGCTAGAGCTCCCGAAATCCAAATAGGTTGGGTCTTCAAGCAGCTGACAGTGAATTGGCGCAGCCTTCTCCTCTTATATACTCTTGATGTAGAGACAACTTTTTCAAAGCTCCCTGCAGCTCCTCATAGTACCAGCACAAAGCCTTCCTTGTATAAAACATGTTCCACAGAATTTCTGAATTAGTAGACGATTTTAACCCCTAGGAAAGCTATAACCTCCCAACTGCTTTGATGCATAGTGTTGTGATAGCTTTGGGAATAAAATGTGGCAACTTTTACAAGCAGTGGATCAAAGCCATGTGTACTGGCAACTCCAGAGCTTCTGAGACTCAGTCCTTGAGTTTCAACTACATTGTTTTTAAAAGCAGTTTCTAAGTCATGGGAGATAACTCAGGACAAATCTAGAATCAGCAGTTTAAAAATGTACAAATGGTTTGATCTTCTGTGCTTTTTGAGCATGACTAAGTTTTAGCAAAACAACTGGAACCAAGCCCCACATCTAACTAGACAATGCCTCAACATGGAATAATAAATTCCTGCTATTGCTTAGCAAATTTCTAGAACATCATAATGCCATAATTCTGGAAGACTATATCATGGTTTCCGAGAGAATGCTACTTCATGGACAAAGCAGGCTTTATCTCTAAATATCAGAGTTAACTTGTTTAAATTGGATTAGCTATTACAGCATTTTCCCCTTTAAAATTTTACTTATTTATTTTATTTGAAAGGCAGAGAGACAAAGAGAAATCTCTCATCAAATGCCCACAACAGTCAGGACGGGGCCAGGCCAAAGGCAGGAGCCAGGAACTCAATCTCAGATACCTCACATGAGTGACAGGGGCTCAACTACTTGAGCCATCACTTGCTGCCTCCAAGGGTGTGTGTTAGCAGGAAACTGGAATGGAGAAGAGTTAGGATTCAAACCCAGGCACTCCAACATGGAATGCAGGCATCCCAAGCAGTAGCTTAACTTCTGTACCAAATGCTTCCCCCCACTTTCCCCTTTATATAAAAATATTTTCATATCATGAACTCAACATCAGTTTTTTCAAAGTGCTACAAGTTTAACAAATGATAAGTCTAAATACAAATCACAGCATGTTCCATTACAGTAATTACTATCAGCTAAAACAGAGCAGAACAGGGCCAGCACTGTGGCACAGTGGGTTAAAACTCCGGCTGTAGTGCCAGTATCCCATATGGGCACCAGTTTGAGTCCCGGCTGCTCCACTTCTGATCCAGCTCCCTATTAGGGCACCTGGGAAAGCAGCAGAGGATGGCCCAAGTCCTTGAGCCTCTGCACCCACATGGAAGACCTGGAAGAAGCTCCTGGCTCTTGGCTTCAGATCGGCTCAGCTCCAGCTGTTGCAGCCATTTGGGGAATGAACCAGTGGATGGAAGACCTCTCTTTCTCTCTCTGTCTCTACCTCTCTCTCTAACTCTTACACATAAATAAAATGAATATTTTAAAAAACAAGCAAAAAGAAAAAGATATCTCTTTTTCTTGCTCTCACTCTTGCCTGTGATTGCCTTTCAAGTGGATAAATGACTCTTAAAAAATAAAAATAAAATAAAAAAAGAGCAGAACATAAAACAGGAATACTTTTCACAACAATTTAGCTTTAAGATTCTAGAGCTGAATCTGAAACTTGCAATAGCTAAGTCATTTTTTTTTTTTAAATTATACTGTCTGGTGATTGAGTTGAATAATGGTTACTCAAAAATGCTGTGGCATCAACTGGACATTAGCCACATGCACCTGCAAATTCAGGCGGACAGAAGAGGCATGGATCACATTTGGAAAATGAGGACAGCCTACAAGCCAATTTTGAATTTTTTTTTTTTACACTTGGGATTTGAGCCAGGGTGATAAGATTTACTGAATTCAGGATCTACACAGAGTGTGACATGAGGGCCACTGTGTACTCTCTCAGGAATTTATAAGTGCCATCTCTCATGGCATTTCCTCCACTGGGGTCTACTGCCTCTCTGACCTGGGGAGCTTTGCCAGTTCTCAACAGATTCTAAATTCATTCATCTCACCATAAGTTCGCTAAGTGTCTATGACACTAAGTGCCATTTTTTTTTTTTTTGGGTGCGTGTGTGTATGATTCAACTATGCATCTTTCTGGAATAAAAAAAAGGTTAAAGAGGAAGCAGACAAAATTAGTAAATTAGGGGCTTGCTCAATCCATGCACAAAATCAAAAGTATTTCTGAAACAAACATGTAAATATATTTGTACTTCTTGTAGAATGAATTAAATGAAAAGTGGACACAAATCTTGCACTGGTACCTGTATCCTAACTCCTCACTGAGATGGATCATGTGAAGGATATAGGATTCCTTGCTTGTTCCGGTGAGGCCAGGCAACAGTAAAATAGTGGGTCTGGTGCTGGCATCCACATAACATGCACTGTTTTCATTATCAAACCAGTCCAGCGAAATCTGCCCTCCATCTGCAGTTTTAATAAGTTCGCTGAAAGGAATAATTCAAAACGTTACTACGTGTTCCAAGTCCTGTCTTAAGTGCAGGGTTTTAATTTTATCAACATGACAATATTTAGTCATTTAAGAATAACAGTTTTTAAGCATTCACTAGCATACACACATTCAAGGATACTTTCAAAAGTGCATGGAAAATGGAATCAAAAGATACATGCATTTTAGTGCAAAATTTTTTTGGAGTCCATATATAGTTTTTAATGTAACACACATTTTCCATGAACTTTTTGAAGACCCCTCATATCTATATCTCTTTCATTACCAGGATGTTAAGATCAGTACCATAAAGTTGTTTCTAGAACTCCAGTAAAAGGTAGGATCTAGAAATGAACTTCAAAGGACTTTGAATATTTATCTTAATCATTGCCTCATTACTCTAAAATACCCAGCATTTAACCCCTATTTGATTGAGGTCACTGAAATAATTCAACAGGGAAAAGCTGATCTGATCACTGCTCCAGCTCTCTGGACTCAATAATGCAGTCTCTCCACCGAGTACATTAGAAAATTTGCTTCTTAAATAATTTCCAGTACTTCTCACTGCGGTATCTATGAACTTAAGGACTTTTCTCAAATAGTGCAAGTTTCAAGCAAATAAAGGGACTCCAGAAAGACTAGATGACTCAGGGAAATTAATAAAAGGCCCCATTTCAATCTCCTGGATCCTGATATATTCTGGACGGTACCTTTAAACACCTCAAGGGCATCTATGTGCTTGTCAACATGAAACCTACACAAAACTCAAACCAGTGGGTGTCCTCTTCACCCTCACTCCGGTATTTACATCTGAATTGGTTTTTATCATCAGAGCCCCAAGGGCTCAGGCACAGATGCATGGCAAATTAGAAAACCATAATCTCTACTAAACACAGTTTGCATCCTAGAAAGAAGCACTATACCAGGGCGAAAAAAAAAAGTGAAAAAAGAAAGGCAATACTTTGATATTTCCTGCAGCTGGGGGTGGAGTGGGGGACACTTTCCATTTTCACTCTTTCTGTCCTATTTACTTACTAAATCAGGGATTCTATTAATCAAGCGCTCGGCGTTTGCAAAAAAAGAAAAAAATCTGTAGTTGTCAATGAATGCCTGAACTTGGACCTTTACTTACTTCCTGTACTGCACCGGGGGCTTGGACGTGATAAAAGGTCTCAGCAGGGTCTGTCCTCGGCTCTCCCAGCACCAGACTGTTGGGTAATACGTTTCGGTCACCACGGGACAGTGGTCCTGCAGGAAGCGGCCGAAACTCTCGCCCCCGGTCACCAACTGGGGTTTCTGAAGAGAGAAAGCCAGGGTCGGTGAAGGGTCCACGACAGAGCCAAGTTTCTGTCCATGGTAAATCAGAAGCCAGCACAAGGCGGGGGGTCCCGGGGCGCGCGATCCCTCATTCTGGAAGGCCCTCGCACATCCTTCACAAGCACAACGGGCTTCACCGCGGCTTATCAGCGCCCTCGAGGGAAATGCGAGCGAGCGCAGATACAAGAATCGTTCTCCGAAGTGCTACAGCCCGGCCAAGCGCCACAGCCGCGGCAGCGCCCGCGAACCGGGACCAAGCAGCGTCTCCGCGCCGCGGGCAGCCGGCTGCGGTGCGAGGATCAGGGGCCGGGGGCTGTCCCCGCGCGCTCACAGAGCGTCCGGACGGCACCGGGGAAGGGCCAGCCCTCGGGAACAGCCGGCTCGGCCTCGGGGCTGCCGGTTGCCGCTGCCCGCGCCCCCGGTGGAGCCGCCCGCGGCCCTGCGCCTCCCCCAGGCTCACCTTGGCAATGCTGCTCAGGTAGTAGCAGGCATAAGCGACGCTGAAGCCCAGGATCAGGGACAAGCCCACCCCGGAACCGAAGAACCCCACGCGGACTTGGTGCTCCAGGTAGAGGGAGAGCTCCCGGGAGAGCATCCGCAGGTCCATGGCCAGGCGCTGCATGGCTCCCGAGCGCGGCGCACCGGTCCTGCGGCGGGAGGCGACCCGGCCGGCCAGCGGGCGGGAGCGGGCGCCGCGCCGCAGCCGCCCCTCGGACTTCAACGGGCTAATTCCGCGGGGGGGGGGGGGCTTCCCGCCAAAGGGGCGCGGCCAAGGGGGGCCCCGGGAAGGGGTTATCCCCGGCCCCCCAGAAGCCCCCCCGGTTTCTGCCCCCGGCTCCCCCGGAAGACGCCCCCCCCCCCCAGCCTTTTCAAGGAACCTTTCAAGAAGGGGGGGGGTTCCGCCGCTTCGGCAAGGCGGACAAGGGTCTTTGGGTCGCAGTCAGCTCGGGTGGACCCCGAGAGTCGCGGGAGAGTGCGAGCGGCCTGAGGAAAAGAAACGGGCCGGGCGGCGCCGCTTCACTCCAGGCGCCGGCACCTGCCCCGGTGACCTTGACTGCCTGCGGTCGGCCGGGGAGGAGGGGGTGTCTTGGTAGACTAGCGGTTTAGGTGCCCAGGAAGGGTGCCTTGTATTCGAGGATTTTGGGAGTTCGTGCCCACTTTAAGTCAAGAGAATGCACAACGTAGAGAATCCCACATCCTCCCCTCCCCCACCCTCACCCCAGAGCTTGCGCTGTCCCCGAAAACTGTCAAAAGAGAAAAATATATTCTAGGAACAGTCAACGGTGATGACATTAATTCTTGACTTTAGGTGTCTCTGTGGGTCTTCCTGGTGGCCAAGTATGCCTAACATGAGAAGCGGTTCGTGGAAGTAAGTGCAAAGGGCAAGAATAGGAGGTGAGATTCAGTACTGTGAAAAGCCTACTTGTGGCTCATTAATGTTGTGAACTTACAGAAGGACGGAAATTCACACCGATTACCTGATGTACCGGCAAGGAAGCCTTTAAGAAGTCGGGCTGCCTAGGTTTATTTATGGCCAAAGTCAGGAGATACTTCAGAGGAATCTGATGCAGTTAGAAGATTTCACAATCTGTTATTATGAACTCCTCCCTGGCAGGGGTATCTGGAGTGGCAAGGCTTAAGCAAAAGAAAAGAAGGCAAGGGCCTGTATACAGATCATACATGATTGTAATGTACATTTACAGGCTGTAAATGATGTAATGTTGCGATGGGGAGAGGGAATGGGCAAGAAATGAGCAACTGACCTGCGCTCCATTTGGTCATTGCAGCTTGATGGTTGCCACTGCGCCAAATAATTACATTACCTTCACTGAGCCTTTATTCTTTGCTTTTAAAATCTGTTGCATAATAATTTCTGCTCTATAGAGCTGCTGAGAGAGCTAAATGAAGTAATGTGTGCTTAGATTCCCCCTTTTCCCTGATCTTAAGATTCTCTTTCTCTGACTCTCACACCTGAGCACACACAACAAAAACAAATGCATGTACTGGTTGCCACACTTGACACCTTACATGCAACATTCTTTTTTTTTTTTTTTTAAGATTTATTTATTTGAAAGTCAAGAGTTACACAGAGAGAAGGAGAGGCAGAGAGACAGAGGGAGAGAGGTGTTCACTTCCCAATTGGCTGCAATGGCCGGAGCTGCGCCAATCCGAAGCCAGGAGCCATGAGCTTTTTCAGGGTTCCCCATGCGGGTACAGGGGCCCAAGGACTTTCCCAGGTCATAGCAGAGAGCTGGATCGGAAGAGGAGCAGCTGGGATATGAACCAGCACCCAAATGGGATGCTGGCACTGCAGGTGGCGGCTTTTATCTGCTACACCACAGCGCCAGCCCCCATGCAACATTCTTTAAAATGTCTGCACCTGCCTTTGGCCCTGCCTACCAATCATGCTTGCATATTTTCATTTGCTTCCATGTATATATTTATTTATTTTGAAGAAGCATCCTATGTTTCAAAAATGATTTATTTGAGAGTCAGAGAATGAGAGAGAGCACTCCTATTCCTAATTCACTCCCTGAAATGACCACAATGGCTAGGGCTGGACAAGGCTGAAGGCAAGAGCCAGGAACTCAATCCAGCTCTCCCACGTGAGTGGCAGGAACCCAATTGAGCCATCACTGCTACTTCCCAGGGTCTGCACAAATAGGAAACTGTAGTCAGGTGCTGGAACCAAGCATCAAACTCAAGAACTCTAATGTGGACCATAAGCATCTTAAAACAGTATCTTAACTGCTAGGCTAAATCCATGTCCCATAATTTTACTTGAGTTTCACGCGAAAACATCATGAAATAAAATGTTTGTCTTAGCTTGGCTGCCGTTAACAAATACCTAAACTGGTTGACTTAAACACATTTCCTTTGGACAGTTCTGGAGGATGGAGGTCTGAGATCTGCCAGCATAATTGGGTTCTGGTGAGGGCTCTCTTCCTGCCTTGTAGATGGCTGCCGCCTTTGGCATCTTCCTATGGTGGAGAGAGGAAACTCTGTCCTCTTACATGGGCACCACTCCACCTCTGTGGTCTCATCTAAACATTATTACCTCTTGCTGCACATCACATTAGAAGAAGGACTTCAAAGTATGAATTTAGAGGAAGGGCACAAACACTGAGTTCCTAACAACATTTCATAATCTTCACAGTGTGTAGAAAGTATGCCGACCTGGAAGTCGAAACCAACTCCAAACTCAGGCAAATCTGTCTGGGGGCCTTGTTTTCTTGTTGATAAACAAGGGATGGAAGATGTTCAACTTTCTTTCCTGTTAGAACATTCACAATCTTCCTTAAGACAAGAGCTATTACTCCCAGTTTACAGATGAGCACACAGTTTGATTCGTTCATCAATTTCTTCTTGAGTGCTTTCTAGACACTGAGGACTCAATGACAAACAAGACAGGGCAGGGACCATACATCTAGTGACAACAGAGGAGTAAGCAATTTAATCATACTAGGTGTGGAGAGTAAGGGAGGCACCAGATGCAGTAGTAATCCAAGGTCCTTAGTAATAAGCAACAAAAACAAATCCAAGCTTCCTATAAGTAGAAAAGAAATGCATTCCAATGGCATTGGGTAGCTGATGAATGTCGCTCCCCCTCTTCATGGAGGAACGACACTAAGTCCTGCCTAGGCTTCATATCCGAGTCACGGCACCATTATGTCGCTCCCCCTCTTCGTGGAGGAACGACACAGGACCCTGCGCTGTTCTTTCGTCTGCTCGGCCCTCCCCGGGTTTGCTGCTGGTTCTTCCCGGGTTGGCTACTATCCCTTCCACCTCCGTGGAAGGGCAGTTCCCCCTGGCCACATTCCCCACTTCCGCAGGGGAGTGGCACACCGCTGGCCGGCTCTTCTCGGGGGCTGCACAGGTGTTCCCTCAGATGTTCCCCTTAGATGTTCCTTGGTGCATGCCGTCTCTCTCCTCCTTTATAGTCCTCCTCCGCCAATCCCAACTCGGCTGCCCACACGCCGAGTACGCTGCTCTCCTCCAATCAGGAGCAAGTCCTACAGTTTATTGGTTGAACTGGAGGCAGCTGTGCGGAAGCTGTTTACTTCTCTCCCAGCGCCATATTGTGGGAGAGCAGATGCATAGAATAAGTCTTAATTCCAGTAACTCAGTCCAGTCCGAGCTGCTCCCCACAATGAAGTCTCTGGGAGGGCCAGAGTACTAGGCTGAGAAATTAGGAGCCATTGTGGAGCTGGTCCTCTGATGACAAGACTCCCTCCTGCTCTGAATGCCACTCTATGGGTGTTGACATCCACAGCATCATCACTGGGTAGGCTCTGCTCTGAACCTCTGACACTGTTGCTTCTGGAACTGGGGTGCTGCCACCTCTGTCCCCTTGCTACAGATTCCCCTGTGATTCCTGCTTCTTAGCTCCTCTGGATGTAGTGAGAGTGGAACTGACTACTGTGGTTGGCATGATATCTCAGCTCTCTCCCTGCTGTGGAGGTAGGGAAACAGACATGTAGCTGGCATTTTCAGCTTACATGGGGAGATGAACTCTGCTTTACATGGTGAGGGTTCCTCACACACAAATAAGTGTTCAGGTGCTGGGCAGCCAATGAAAATGCAAATGTCTACTCCAAATACATAAAATGCAGCAACTTAGCAGCCACAGTCCAGGGTCTAAGGAAGATCAGAGAAGAATTTCGTTGTCTTTTTTTTTTTTAAGATTTATTTATTTGAAAGTCAGAGTTACAGAGAGAGAGAGAGAGAGAGACAGAGAGAGAGATCTTCCATCTGCTGATTTACTCCCTAAATGGCTGCAGCAGCTGGGGCTAGACTAGGCCAAAGCCAGGAGCCAGAAGCTTCTTCCAGGTCTCCCACATAGGTACAGGGGCCCAAGCACTTGGGCCACCCTCCACCACTTCCCCTGGCGTATTGCCAGGGAGCTGGATCGGAAGTTGAGCAGCTCGGACTCCAACCGGTGCCTACAGGGGATGCCAGTGCTGCTGGCCCCTAGAAACAACATTCTTTTTTTTTTTTAATAAATATTTATTTGAAAGAGAAACAGAGAGGGAGAGACAGAATATTCTATCTGTTGGTTCACTCTCCAGATGCCTGCAATGGCCTAGGCTGTCCATGTGGGTGGCAGGGGCCCAAGTACTTGAGTCATCATCTGCTGCCTTCCAGGCACATTAGCAGGGATCTGGATCAGAAGCTGAGTAGCTGGGACTCAAACTGACACCTGATACTGGAGGCGAGCATCCCAAGCAGCTGTTCAACCTGCTGCACCACACCACCTGCACCTACTTTTAAGAATTCTGATCAAGCATGCGCTTGAAGTAACAGAGCTGAAGTGGTGCAGCCAACCTTTACAGCTTGATACAAAATGCTCAGGAAGCCTGTTGCTACTTTTTACCCCTAGCTCTATCATGGGTGTTTCAAGGAGAAATCTGAATTGCTTAGAGAATGTGTGATACACAGACTCTAAGGTGATGCTGATGACCTCTGCAAGCTGGTTTCCTTCCCTTTGAGTACAGGCAGGACTCCTGTCTCACTTCTAACTGCATATAGCAAAGGTGGAGAGACGTCACCACTCTGTTAGGTAAGGCTTCATCTTAGCAGACGTGAGCGAGGCTGTCCTGCCAGCCTCCAGGGAGCAAGAAGCCGTGTGAACCCCCTCCCCTGAAGAGGGCCACGTAGCAGGAAAGGATGGCAGGCTCCAGGATTTGTGGGTTGCCAACAACCAGTCCTACAAGGAACATCAAGGAAACTTGATTTTACGGAGAACCTAAATGAGCTTGGATGCAGATTCTTTCCCTGTGAAGTCTCTAGAGGAAAACAGTCTGGTCAACACCTTGACTTCAGCCCTGTACACACTGAGCAGAGGACCTGGCTCAGTTGTGCCCGGACCCCCGACCCAGGGAAAGTGTTAAGAAAATAAACATGTTGCTCGAAGGTGTTATGTATGTGGCAGCTTATTATGCAACAGCAAAAAACTAATAGAATATAAAAAGTTCCTACAAAATCATTCAATGGTTAATAAATATTAATGGCTCATCCTTTGCCTATGTATCTATTATAGCAGTGTTTCAAATAAGTTAAAGATTTCAGTTCTTTTAACCAACACTTAAAATTAAGAGTTTTTTTCCTCTTATGGATCCATTTAAATTGCCACAATGACATTTTTTCCTTTTAATTTTTTAAATGGTACATAAAAATAATACACATTGATGGGCTGGCACTGTGGCATAGTAGGTTAAGACTCCACCTGTGGTGCCAGCATCCTATATGGGTGCCAGTTCAAGTCCCATCTGCTCCACTTCCAATCCAGCTCCTTGCTAATGGCCTGGGAAAGCAGTGGAAGATGGCTCAAGTGCTTGGGCCCCCGTACCTGTGTGGGAGACCTGGAAGAAGTTCCTAGCTCATGTCTTTGGATCGGTTCAGCTCTGGCCATTGTGGCCATTTTGGGGGAAGATAGAAGACCTCTCTCTGTAACTCTGCCTCTTGAATAAATAAATAAATCTTTTAAAAAATAATAATACATTGGGGCCATCATGACGTAGTGGGTAAAACCAACACCTGTGACGCTGGCATCCCATACGAGTGCTAGTTTGCAGCCTGGCTGCTTTACTTCTGATCCAGCTCCCTGCTATTGTGCCTGGGAAAGCAGCAGATGGCCCAAGGGCTGGGCCTCTGCACCCACATGCGAGACATGGATAAAGCTTGTTGTTTGTGGCTTTGGCTTGGCCCACTGGAGGTTGCAGTCATTCGGGGAGTGAAGTAGCTGATGGAAGTGCTCTCTCTCTGTCTTTTCCTCTCTATGTAACTCTGCCTTTCAAACAAATAAATCTTAAAAAAAAATACCTGTTTATGGGGTACGATGTGATGTTTCAATCCATGGGTAATGTTCAAATCAGGACAACTCTATCTTTTTTTTTTTTATTTTTTTATTTTTTTTTTTTTTTATTTTTGACAGGCAGAGTGGACAGTGAGAGAGAGAGACAGAGAGAGAAAGGTCTTCCCTTGCCGTTGGTTCACCCTCCAATGGCCGCCGCTGCAGCCGGCGCACCGCGCTGATCCGATGGCAGGAGCCAGGATCCAGGTGCTTTTCCTGGTCTCCCATGGGGTGCAGGGCCCAAGCACCTGGGCCATCCTCCACTGCACTCCCTGGCCATAGCAGAGAGCTGGCCTGGAAGAGGGGCAACCGGGACAGAATCCGGCGCCCCAACCGGGACTAGAACCCGGTGTGCCGGCGCCGCAAGGTGGAGGATTAGCCTAGTGAGCCACGGCGCCGGCCCAGGACAACTCTATCTTTAAATATTGCTTTCGGTGAAATCAATATTCTATCCTCTAGCTTGTTTTGAAATACACAACACAGGGGCTGGCGCTGTGGCGTAGCAGGTAAGGCTGCTGCCTTCAGTGCCGGCATCCCATATGGGCACCGGTTTGAGTCCCAGCCACTCCATTTCCAATCCAGGTCTCTGCTATGACATGGGAAAGCAGTAGAAGATGGCCCAAGTGCTTGGGCCCCTGCCCCACATGGGAGACCCAGAGAAAGCTCCTGGCTCCTGGCTTCGGATCGGCGCAGCTCCAGCCATTGCAGCCAATTGGGGAGTGGACCAGCTGATGGAAGTCCTTTCTCTCTCTCTCTCTCTGTTTCTCTCTCTCTCTCTCTGTAACTCTTTCAAATAAATAAATAAATCTTTTAAAAATGAAATACACAATACATTATTGTTATGTATAGTCACTCTATTATATGATAGAACACCAGACCTTATTTCTCCTGTGTAACTGTATCTTAGTACCCATTGACAAACTTTTCCCTGTCATTTATTAGTTTTTTAAATGGTAAAAAATTATTTTTTAAAAATTTCTTCTTATTTATTTGAAAGCCTAGAGTTACAGAGAAAGGTAGAGACAGAGAGAGGTCTTCCTTCTGCTGGTTCACTCCCCAGATGGCCTCAATGGCTGGAGCTGCGCTGATCTGAAGCCAGGAGCCAGGAGCTTCCTCTGGGTCTTCCATGTGGTTGCAGGGGCCCAAGGACTTGGGCCAACTTCTACTGCTTTTCCAGGCAATAGCAGAGAGCTGGATCAGAAGAGGAGCAGCCGGGACTAGAACCAGCATCCATATGGGATGCTGGCACTTCAGGCCAGGGCTTTAACCCTCTGTACCACAGCCCCGGCCCCCAAAAAGTTATTTTTTAAAATACAAAACTAATTTTTAAAGATGTGGATCACAGGAAAAGATATATAGTTTATGGGGCCAGTGTGTAGTGCAATGGCTAAGATGGCCACATCCCATTTCAGAATACCTGGGTTCAATTCCTAGCTCTACTTCCAATTCTAGCTTTCTGCTAATGCGCACCATGGGAGGCAGCAGGTGATGGTTCAAGTCCTTGAGACCCTGCCACACACGTGGGAGACATGGGTTTGACTGCCCAGCTCCCAGATTTAGCTTGGACCAGCACTGGCCATTGTAGGTATTTGGGGAGTGAACCAGCAGATGAGCAATCTGTTTATGCCTCTGTGAATGTCTATGTCTCTCTACCTTTAAATTAATTAATTAAAGATACAGCTTAAAATAAGTAAGGCCAAAACATTCCAAGTTGTAATGGAAGACAAGTTTTAAGAAGAAAAAACATCTCCACAATACCATGTTTAATTGAAGTGTATTAAAATACCAAAAATCCACTTGTTAAAATAGAACTAACAGAAAGACACTGAAATTAGTAGTGGCCTCCAAGGAGTGAGGACAGGCCACTGGATATGAAAGATAGGAGGGAAATCTGCTCCTCACTGAATGCCTGTTAGTACCTTTCAGATTTGGGATCATATTTTGTACTTTTTACATTGTGTAAAATGTAATATAGTAGCTTGCAAAAAAAAAGGTAAAAAGAACTGTATTAGTTACCATCGTTTTAGGGTGAAAGGCCCAATCTCACCAGGAATCTTTGCTTTAATCCATAAATGTCTGAGAAATATATCAATGTGCTGCCTGGCAGCTGGAACAAGATCTGTGATGACAGTGGTTCACTCATGGAATTCTCATGCGTACCCCTTACGAAAGGTGTTGCACCCAAGAACACTGATGACTCTCTACTGTTGGTCCACCAGTGTCACTTTGCTAATAACCTAACATTATTATTTTTTGATTATACAGGAAATGCATTAAGTCACATGCCTTACAGCGTGGATCTTGGAGAAAATATTTCTAAGAGGAGAAAAACCAGATACAATGTAAGAGGTATGCAGCTGTGGCCTTGCCCAGCGTAACAGGATGTTCAGTAGTGCTTTCCTACTCTCTCTGGAATGCACAAGTACAGTTCATTTCCATGCACAGAGATGTCAGGTATCAAAAGCTGGGGGTCTACACAGGCTGACCCAGTCACCCAAAGCTGTCAGCTGAGGTGCCTCCTCCTCTTCTCAGTTTCCCGGAACAGACCAGAAGAAGAGCAGGCCTCAGAGTTCTGAGGTTTGGAAATGTTGACCTGCGAATTTCACTGAAACTATTCTCTTTGTGGAAGGTGCCCAAATGCTATCTGATGAAGTGAATGGATGAGTGTATTGCTGCAGGAGGGAAAGAGGGAATGGGAGACTCGTGTACAGAAGGGGGTTTGCTGCATGGTTTCTGAGAGATTCACTTGTTTTTAAAGATCTTTTTGTTTATTTGAAAGGCAGAGTTACGGGGGTGGGGGCAGAGTCAGAGAGAGAGAGAGAGAGAGAGAGATCTTCTATCTGCTGGTTCACTCCCAAATGGCCAGAAAGGCCAGGACTGGGAGCCAGGAGCTTCATCAGGACCTCCCACGAGGGTGCAGGGGCCCAAGCCCTTGGCATATCTTCTACAGTCTTTCCAGGCACATTAGCAAGGGAGCTGAGTTGGAAGTGGAACAGCCAGGACTCGAACCAACACCCATAAAAGATGCTGCTGCTGCAGGAGGTAGCTTAACCTGCTATGCCACAGCCCCAGCCCACTCTTTTTTTTTTTTTTTTTAAGAGTTGTTTATTTATTTGAAAGGCAGAGTTACAGAGAGGCAGAGGCAGAGGCAGAGAGAGAGAGAGTGAGAGAGAGAGAGAGAAAGCCTTCCATCTTCTGGTTCACTCCCCAATTGGCTGCAACGGCTGGAACTGCACCAATCTGAAGCCAGTAGCCAGGAGCTTCCTCTGGGTCTTCCACATGGTGCAGGGGCCCAAGGACTTGGGCCATCTTCCACTGCTTTCCCAGGCCATAGCAGAGAGCTGGATCGGAAGTGGAGCAGCCGGGACTCAAACTGACGCCCATATGGTATGCCAGCACTGCAGGCAGTGGCTTTACCTGCTATGCCACAGCAACGGCCTCGTGAGATCCATTCTTGCTCAATTTCTTCTAATGAGCCTCCTCAGATTTCTCTCCACAGTTTCTTTCTTAAAAAAAAAATGTATTTATTCATTTATTTGAAAGGCAGAGTGACACAGAGTAAGGCAGAGGCAGAGAAGATCAGATTCCTCCAATGGAGTTGGGCCAGCCCAAAGCCAGGAGCCAGGAGCCAGGAACTCCATCTGGATCTCCTATGAAGTTGGCAGGGACCCAGAATTTTGAGTCATTATCTTCTGCCTCCCAGGCACATTAGCAGGGAGCTGGATCAGAAGCAGAACATCTGCGACTCGAACTGACACTCCAATATGAGATCCTGGCATCCCAAGCAGAGGTTTAGCTTGCTGTACCATGATGCCTGCCCCTCTCTCAATAGCTTCTTACTTTGTCCAGAGTCTCCTTGCATAGAGGCTATGGTAGTTAGTCTCTATGTTGGCCTTCAGAGCACCGAAGCTCTTGTGTGTGGTGGAATGAGGAGGTGAAAAGGTCATGCCAAGATGGCCACTGACAACAGAAACTGCCTGGCAACAGGCCGTGATTGGATGGCTTCGGAAACTACATGACAACAGAGCCTGACTGACAGCAGGCCGTGATTGGATGGTTTCAGAAACTGCCTGGCAACAAGAGCCTGACTGGCAACAGGCTGTGATTGGATGGCTTTGGAAACTGCCTGGCAACAGGCTGTGATTGGTTAGGGCATAGACTGCCCCTTGACCGGATTTGCTGCCTTGGCTATATAAGCAGCTGTAGCAACTGAAGTAAATGAGTCTGTGGGCTGCTCTCCTCAGGCCTGCTTTCACCTGGCTCCCGGGGTCTGTTTGGTGACTCCGAGCCTCTTGCCCCCACCATACTCCTCCTCTCAGAACGATTCCTCTCAGGAAGAAATCAACCTCAACACTTGTGTATGCATGCTCGTCTATATTCTCCTCTACACTGGATCTGGGTTGGCCTTGTGACCTGCTTCCCCAGTAGAAGGAGCTGGAATTTCTCTGAGTAGGTCATAAGAAGCCTTGCAATTTCTATCTGCCATTTGAAGCATGCACTCTGGGAAGGCCACCTACCAAGTAAGAAGTCCTACTTCTGAGACCATCATGCTATGAGGATGCCTGAGCTACCCACATGATGAAGCCACTCATTAAGAGAAGTACCTGGTCAGCCCCTAGATGTTCCTGCCAACCCAGCTGAACTATGAAACCTTCTTGGTATTCAGCCCAAACCTGTAGCTGACTCTGGCTCCTGATGTCATCCGACTGTACCCACACAAGAGATTCCAACAAGAACTGCCTACCTAAGTCAATTTACAAAACTCAGACATAATGATATGTTATTGTTCAAGTCACTAAGTTTTGGATGGTTTCTTAGGCAGCAATAGTTATCCAAAATTGTGGCCGACTATCTTGGTTGAGGTACTGGCAAGACAGCTCAAGTACAACCACCTTCCTTGCTGTTAGTAAGCAAAGTACCATATGGACTCATGTAAGTCAGTAACTAGTTTTCATTGTATTTTATAGTCTTACTAGTACTTAATGGATTGCAAATATTAAAGATCTTGACAACAGTCCCTTTAATACAGATAGTTTGTGAAGCAATGACTTAGAATTTCTCATTTCTATTAGGCTTTCCTCTATGTTTTTTCCACTGATAAAAGTTTCAAAAGATAATTTTCATGACTATAGGAAATGGAAAAGCTCATGTGTATACCATTCACAATAGCAGTCCAAATATAAGATATCTAAGAATAAACCCTTTTCCAAAAATAAAAATTTATGACCTTTTACAGAAAGATCTTTGGTCCTACTTGGAGGATATCATTAGTCTGGTGAATACTAAAACAAAGGGAAAGAAGCCAGCATTTTTCTGTCTTCCCAATCCTGTCTTAGGATACCCAGAAAGCCCTGAGGCAGGGGCTGGTGTTGTGGCACAGCAGATTAAGCTGCCACTTGTGATGCTGGCACCACCTGCTGCTCTGCTTCTGATCCAGCTCCCTGCTAACGCACCTGGGAAGGCAGCAGATGATGATTCAAGTACTTGGGTTCCTGCCACCCAACTGGGTGATCTGGATGGAGTTCCTGGCTTATGGTTCCAGCCTGGCTCAGCCCCAGCCTAAGTAGCCATTTGGGTAGTGAACCTGCAGACAGATCTCTCTGGTTTTAGTCTGGACTAGCCTGGGTCATTGCGGCCATTTGAGGAGTGAACCAGTGGATGGAAGTGCTCTCTCTTTCTCTCTCTCTGTCCCTCTGCCTCTTCCTTTCTGTAATTCTTTCAAGTAATAAATGAATCTTAAAAAAAAAAGAAAGGGAGTGAGAGGGAGAAAGGAAGGAAGGGAAGAAAGTACAAAGGGAGGAACAAGGGAAGGAGGAAGAGAGGGAAGGAGGAAAAGAGATGGGGTTGGGGGGGAGGAGGGAAACTATCACATGGGTTCTAACTGCAACTGATAAAAAAATCTTAATAGAACTTCACTGTAATTTCTCTATTTCCTCTTTATGCAAACATGCAATTGTTCGATCATATGTAGTTGGGAAGAGAAATATTTTTGGCCATGTCAGCATCTTTGAAAACACCCTGTCGTGCTAATTCCCCAATAGCTTGCTTATAAGTCAATGTACCATAGTAGACAAGTGTGGAGTAGTCTTGTGAAACACTGCAGGGACGTGCTAAAATCTGTTCCTAAGCACGGCAACTAATTTAAGTTGGGGAAAAAATGGAAAAGAGAATAATTTACTTCTGGTTGGACACCGCCAAACTTAGTTACTTGTGTGACTGAAGGTAGGAGAGAATGAGACTCAAAACACAAGGCAAGGCCCGTGCTGCAGCTCACTAGGCTAATCCTCCGCCTTGCGGCGCTGGCACACCGGGTTCTAGTCCCAGTCGGGGCGCCGGATTCTGTCCCGGTTGCCCCTCTTCCAGGCCAGCTCTCTGCTGTGGCCAGGGAGTGCAGTGGAGGATGGCCCAAGTGCTTGGGCCCTGCACCCCATGGGAGACCAGGATAAGTACCTGGCTCCTGCCATCGGATCAGCGCTGTGCGCTGGCTGCAGCGCACCGGCCGCGGCAGCCATTGGAGGGTGAACCAACGGCAAAGGAAGACCTTTCTCTCTGTCTCTCTCACTGTCCACTCTGCCTGTTAAAAAAAAAAAAAATTAAAAAAAAAAAAAAAGACACAAGGCAATGTCCTTTCCTGTGTTCGCAAAGGCCACAGGTTGTGGAGGCAGAATTCTAAAACACCCATCCCTGTGGTTCCTGCCCCGGATGTATACCTCCTCAAATAATCCTTTGTCCTTGACTACAGGTGGCAAAGGTGAAGGGATTCTGCAAATATAATTAAAGTCCCTAATCATTTGATTTTTAGTTGATCAAAGGGAGCTTATCTTGGGAAAACCTGATCTAATCAGCTGAGCCCTTTCTGACCTCAGGATCAGAGATGGAAGAAGTCAGACTCTTTCGTCTGCTGGCCATGAAGACACAGGCTGGCAAAAATTCTACAGTTCAAGAAGATGGACTTGCAAAGAGCCACATGAACTTGAAAGAAGACCTTGAACTTTTGAATAGAATACAGCCACGGCCAACCCCTTGATTGTAGCCTTGTGAGATCCTGAGCAGAGGACCCAGCTAAGCTGTCTGGAATTCTGACACACAGAAACTAGAGATAATAAATGTTACTTGAGGCTGATCAGTTTCTGGTACTTGACAGCAACTGTGTCCATCAGTCATTCCCATTCCCTGGAGCTTCAACATTCCTTGTCTGCTTCTTTGTCTCTCTCCTCTTTTTCATTTTCTTCACCCCATCCCCCAACACTTCTGGCTCTTTCTTATCAACAATTAAACAAATTTAAGTGTTTCCTATCTTATAAATCTATCCCTCATCACATGTCTTCCTGTAGTTACTGGTCTATCTGTCTTCCACATCATAGCCAAATATCTTGAGAGAGTGTTGTGTCAGACAGAAATTGCATATAGTTTATACCTGGGACTTAATCAAGATAGGGATTTGTTTTTCTTTCATGTGGCAAAAATTCTCAAGGCAGGCAATCCAGGGTTAGAGCAGTACTTCAAAGGATGTAATCATTGTTCCCAGCTGCTGCTTTCTTCTGCCTAGGATGTGGCTGTTGTGGTTGTTTCTGTGATTCTCCCAGTCATTCTAACTGCATTTCAAGCAGGCAGCAAAGGACAGGTGCCTTTATGGGAATAAATAAGTCTTTTTTAAAAAAAAAAAAAAAAAAACAACTGTGAGCCAAAATAAACCTATTTTCCTCTACAACTTACTCTGTGGCATTGTGTTAGTAGCAACAGAAAACAGAGTAAGATAAGGAGCTCTCCTGGATGTCTGATTCAATGAATTTTTTTATTTCCCTATATACAAATCTGTGTCCCCACTTTCACAGGACACTGGGAAGAGCAGCTGTGGGGCACATTGCTTCCCTCAACAAACTAGGGCTTGGTTAGTGTGAGACATTGTGTCTTATTCCATTTGTAACAAAACACCTTAGACTGGGTAATTACAAACAATATAAATTTCTCCACATTTTGAAGGCTGGAAAGTCCAAAATCAAGACATTGGAGATCTTTTGTCTGGTGAGGGCCTCCCTCCTCACAGATGGTGACTTCTCACTTGTCATCAAGTGGCAGAAGAGGCAAACAGGCTCCCTCAAGCCTCTTTCAGAAGGGCACAGATTCCATTCGTGAGGGTGGAGCCGTCCCGACCTAATTGTCTCCTCAAGGCTCCTCCTCTTAATACTGCCAGGCTGGGGTTAAGCTTCAACATATGAACTTCAGGGGGACAGACCTTCAGACCACAGCATTCTATGCCCCCACCAAACACTGAATGTACTGGGCCCTTGATCTTGGCCTTCTCAGCTTAGCCTGTCAGAAATAAACATCTGTGGTTATAAAGCACCCACTCGATTTGTTATAGCAGCCTGAATGGATTATGGTAATGGGAAGAATGCATATTTGTTCAAGAATTAGCCATCGCCGGCGCCGTGGCTCAATAGGCTAATCCTCCGCCTGTGGCGCCGGCACACCGGGTTCTAGTCCCGGTCGGGGTGCTGGATTCTGTCCCGGTTGCTCCTCTTCCAGTCCAGCTCTCTGCTATG